AGCGGCAGTTCAGCTGCCGGCCACGGCGGTCAGATGGCGCTGGTCGAGTACAGCTCCAGCGATGAATCCAACGAGGAGGAGGAGGAGGAGCAGCAGCCGATGCCGCCAGGTGAGGGGAGGGGTGTTGAGCGTCGGGTTTCGCGCCCAGTCAGCACAATGTTACATCATGCCATGCCATTTCACAAAATTGCTTTAGTGTTCAATAGAGGATGTGGGGAGGACACAATTGGTCAATGAGGTTGTGGCAGTTGTTGGAATCACCATGTCTCCAAAAACTCAGGATTTTGTAACTTTTCAGTTCAAGGGGATAATCGACATTTCAAGGTAATGAGGCAACCGCCAGATACGATTAAATATGCTCATTGTAATTTTTGGTGTGCTTTTGAGCCCTAAAAGACTGCTTTAGATGACACAATTTCACAACTTGGTAAATATACCCCTCACTACGTGATCTTTTCATTGCGTCATAGAACCGTTTATGGCGTCAGAAGGGCTGCAGAACTGGCCGTGCGCAATTGCTGCCCCAGCGGACAGGCTGACTCACTTACAATACTGCAACTTTTCGAGAGGTGTCCTGGTAATGTGTGCGGTGTTCCCGGGACACAAAGTTCATTTGCATGTCTTCTGGCCCTTTTTGTGGTGTATTTGCATCTTAAGCTGTGATTTTATGTACACTTGCATTCACGTGCTCATTTATATGCTATTCTTAAGGTATTTAATTTGGGGGTGTTCGCCGACGTATCCTATTTCCGTAATAACTAGCACCACTGTCCAACTCCCTGTATAATGTAGCATGAAACGTGGTTTGTTTTTTAGACCTGCGCTTAATGCGTAGCGTTGTTTGAGAGCCAATTGAAGGCCTTGGTTCCAGAGATCGTGCTTACGTACATCAGACACGACTAACGCAAAGATCATATTTTCACTGACCTTGAACGTCGTATGGCCAACATGGTGGCAGCATTTGAGTGAAGTTTCTATGGCGTGCGTTTCTAGTGACGCTTCTTGCACTTTTGTGCAAGGAATGCCATTAAATATATTGTTATCTTCTCCTTGATCCTTGTGGCGTGTTTCATGCGTGCCTGGGTGACCGAATTAGTCTGCACGACTTCGCGGGCGCCTAGTTCAGAACAGGCTCATCCTTAGAAGGGCAGGGCTGTTAACTGCACCGAACGATCTTCAAAATGGCTATCTCAGCTTAAAACCCAATACAGTTGTGGAACGCATCCCTTAAATTCGCCTGCCAATAGCATTTCCACGCCAATATTTGTCAGCACTCTCCACGCAGGTCAGATGTTCATTCCACCGAAGGACTGTCCACTGAGGTCCATGCGTTCCCGTAAGAACACCAGTGGCCAGCTGACTTCCCACGCCGCGCGCCGCCTCCCACGCCCTCGGAAGTGGATTGTGCCGCCTGCATGGTGCGCTGGGATCCGCCTTCGAGCGCGTGGGTTCTTGGTGCGGTGCAGTCAGCGGTGCAGTCAGCGGTGCAGTCATCGAACGCATGTCTTGGCGCGGTCGCCTGTCTGATAATGGCCGTGCCTTCACTGACCAGTGCTCTCCTCTGGGACCTGTTGCAGCAGTAGCGGCGGGCCGACCCGCGACGAATCTGGCCCACCCGGTGTCCACTGTGGGTCCGGTGTCCGCTGTGGATCCAGCGTCCGCTGCGGATCCGGTGTCCGCTGTGGACCCGGTGTCCGCTGCGGATCCTATGCAGCAGCGGAGAGACAGCCCGGTTTCCGTGGCCATGGTGGACCTTACTTCCGGCGCAGAGAACCGCATGGACCTTACCGCCGATGGGGTGGACCAGATGGACTTTGCTAGCGGTGGAGGCGATCACGTGGAAGTCGTCTCCGGCACAGCGCACGGCACTGCCGGTAAAGTGGACCTCGTGGACCTCACATCCAGTGCAGTGGACAACACGCTCAGTGGAACAGATCCCGTGGAGCTCACCTCCCCCGCGACGGACGGCGCCGGCGCGGTGGAGCCCGCGGCGGCCGCCGGCACGCCCCAGGACGTGGAGACGAGCGCCGGGGTGGTGGTGCTCCGGCCGGACGGGCGCGGGCTCGGCGGAGGGGCGCCGGCGCCGCGGTGGACCGCCGCGGACGCAGGACGGCCGCGCTGTCCGTGGCGCCGCTGACAGGTGAGGACGGTGGTGGGCACAGGTGGGCAGGCATCATAGAGGGTGCAGGCAAGGGAACGCGATGCGGGAGGAGGTGAGACAGAGGGACCGGGGAGGTAGGGAGGGGCACTTGGGAGGTGGGAAAGTGTTTAGGTTATGTGGGAACAGGTGCAGACAAATTGGGGTGCAGGAGAGGTGGCAAACGGCCACAAGCGGGGTGGAAAGGGCTATAAGCGAGGTGGAAGGGGCTGAAAAGGGGTGAAAAGGCTGCAAGTGAGGTGGAAAGGTTTGCAATGCGAGGTGGAAGGAGCTGCGAGCGAGGTGGAAGAGCTACAGGGGCTGTGGAGAGAGAGTGGTAGTGTAGATGCGTGGTAGTGGGCGAACAGGGGGTACCGGTAACGAGACGTGCCTTTGGAAACGAATAGGTTTTCAAGGGGTGGAAGTGGCCGACAGTATAGGGTGAAATAAACGACAATCGACGAACTTGCCTGCAATGTCTTCAGATAAGCGTTATTTGGCTGGTTGATGTATAAACTCTATGAATTTATTTATATCCGATGCTCGTCGGCTTGTCCTGATCTAATGCTATGTCGGCGAACAGTGTGATCGGTGCAAGTTAATGCGCCACTTCTATCAACTTCCGCCAGGGATGTATGTGTCAATCCACTCGCTGCAGCAACTGCCATTAGACCGCATGCGGGTCGTGGAGACAGGGGTGGAGGCACGGTATGGGCGCTCACACGTTCCCGGCTCAGTGTTCAGACGTGATCCTCTGCTGTCGTCCCGACTCTACCATCGCTGGCCGGGAGGCGCCCCGACAACAACCGCCCGTGGCCGGCAGCTCGGAGGACTCCGAGTCCGACTCGGACTCGAGCTCCGACTCCGACTCGAGCTCCGACTCGGACGGCCAGGAGGTCGCTGAGAAGGAGGAGGAGGAGGAGGAGGGAGGCGAGAAGGACAAGGCTCGGCGTGTCTTCGGGCCCATGACCAAAGGAGAACTATGTGAGTGCTCAAGCCCTAAGCTTCTCAGCAACTCTGTCCTCGGGACGAGTGCTGAGCAACCCTGCCGTAGGTCCATGGTTGCTCAGCAACTCTGCCCCCGGGCCAGGGTGGCTTAGCAAGTTCCCTGGGGTGAAGGTGCTCATTGGCAGGACAGCGGCGGCTGCAGCAGACACGCCGCTGTTCAAGTGATCTTACTGGCTGATTTCGGTTCACGGACAGGATTCAGTCTGTCCGCGAACAGCGCAGATAGGCTTCATTCGGTGGTGGGCCAGTGAAGTTTGTTGTCCGGTGGCCGGCAGGAGAGAAGTATAAGCTTTACCTGTTGTGGTAGTATCCAATGGGCAGTGTATGAGCTCTATGTTGTTTATGTCCATTTTATTTCATGGCCGATATAAAAGGTGGACGCCGTTGTCCCATGTTTGCATCCATGATAGAATCAGACTGTTTTTTATGTGAATACCTGTTATAACATAATTTGGTACATGCTCCAATATACAGAAGACTAGGAGGTTTTCTGGGCAGGCCCAATCCCCTAAAACGTTGTGTGTACTTTGACACCCCTTCTGTTTCTCCACCCTGCAAATTTAACACGCGGCATCATGCCTGATTATTTAGCGTTACCGACCTACACCCCGTCATCGCCCAAACACTGTGCCGCACCCTCCCCTCCCGCCCTGCCCTGTCCTGCTCTGCCCCTCCCGCCCCTCCCGCCTTGTTCCTTCCGCCCCTTCCGCCCCGCCCGCCTTGCCCCTTCCGCCCCACCCCGCCTTGCCCTTCCACCCTACCCACCTTGCCCTTCTCTCCGCCCCGCCCCTCTCGCGCCCGCCTCGCTCGCCTCGCCTCGCCTTGTCTTGTCTTGTCTTGTCTTGTCTTGTCTTGTCTTGTCTTGTCTTGTCTTGTCTTGCCCTGCCCTGCCCTGCCCTGCCCTGCCCTACCCTCCTGCCCTGCCCTGCCCTGCCCTGCCCTGCCCTGCCCTGCCCTGGCCTGCTTGCCTTGCCTTGCCTTGCCTTGCCTTGCCTTGCCTTGCCTTGCCTTGCCTTGCCTTGCCTGCCTTGCCTTGCCTTGCCTTGTCTTGTCTTGTCTTGTCTTGTCTTGTCTTGCCTTGCCTTGCCTTGTCTTATCTCGTCTCGTTTCGTCTCACCTCGCCCGCCCTGGCCGCGCTGTGACGTCGCTCTCTGACGTCACAGGCCTGCTGGACTTACCGGCCATCGAGCACCTGCGCATCTCGCTGCCGGAGGAGCAGTGCACGCGCGTGGGCACCGTGGCCAGCGTCGTCGAGTGTCTCGGTGAGAGTCGGCTTGGCCGGCCCGCGGGCGGCGGCGGGCGAACGTCGTGCCGCGGCTGGTGGGCCGCTTTCCACGCGAGGTTTCGCGTGGGTGCGCTGTGATCCATGCGTAGCGTTCGATTGGTGGGTTGTTGTTGCTTGGTGGTCTTGGTTTGATGAGCTGTTGTTCCTGCGTAGTGCTCATTTGGTGGGTTGTTGTTCCTGGGTGGTGTTCAGTTGATGGGCTGTTGTTCCTGCATGGTGTTTAGTCGGTGGGTTGTTTTTGCTGGGTGGTCTTGGTTTGGTGGGCTGTTGTTCCTGCGTGGCGCTCAGTTGGTGGGTTGTTCCTATGTGATGTTGTTCCTATGCGTTGGTGACCTGATAATCGGCGGTGGTCCTGGTCTGATGAATCCTTATCCCCCCCCCCCCCCCCATATGCTTTCAGTGGTAGGCTGTGCCGTCTTGCACTTATTGTACAAAACCAAGCCCTTGCGGTGTGCCGCTTATCCTGTGTTGTTTTTGGCGTCACTGAGTTGTATTGAACTCAGTTATGTTGCTTGTCTGTGTGGTTTTGTCGTCTGTGAGATGTGCGTGATCTCCACACGGCAAGTTTCTATCTTCTGCCACGTGTTCGGCGTCATTTCCATTACCGTTGTCATAGAGCCTGACGGAAGGAACTACCCCGATACAGTGTCCCTCACCTGTGAGCTTCACTAGCCTAGCTCTCGCCGGGGCTAAAGCATGGGTTCATTGGTGATCGCAGTAATCGCTTGCGTCAAGAATGACGCAATCGATTGAAACGACATGTCGCAATCGACCATCTCGCAGTACAGTTGTCTTCGCTGCGAACGTCACGCGCAGGACGCCTTCTGTGACTTATTCCGAGCCTCTGGCATAATCAATTTGATGTTCATCTCTGCGGAAAAAGATTAAGTAGGGGTTTGTCACGACCATATGCTGTCTGGACGGGATGCGCCGAGTCCGCTCACAGAGCGATACCGGCCTGGAGTCGACCTCTCTGAACAGAAAACGGTCTGCAATTCAGATAGCTTTTTCTCTCTGATGTAAAGTGTGTTGAGGTTACCTGATCTTTCGTTGCACTTCACTTGGACGCTCTCCCTGATTATGCCACCGAATCTATAAAACTGCACGCGGGTTTTGGCTGCTACAGAGTGCGATGAATCTGAAGATGTGGGCAGAATAGCCGTCGCTGTGTTTGAACCAGTGCTGTGTTCGGCCCGACTGAATGTAGCCTAAAGCCCAGGGGCATTGGCCCCGCTGGTAGCGATACAGTTTGTCTTCTTATTTTGTCATCGATCGTTTTATTTGGACACCTGCATGGATGGACTTTTCACCGATGTTGCTGCGCCTTCACTGGCTGAGGAATCACAGACTGTCACTTGGTTTGGCTAGATCGGCCAGGGTGATGGGCGGGAGGAAGGTTGAACCGGTCGCACACAAGGCTCAGGGAACGACGTCTTCAGTTTACTGGTGTTATGACCTCAGATCTGCCTGTTTCGCCATGACATTTGGTCTCGTGTCCTCTTCACTAGCAGCACCTCTCCACTTCACCAGTGCGGTGGTCCGACTGTGTCCCACCAGCGGTCCGACTGTGTCCCCACCAGCGGTCCGACTGTATCCCCACTAGCGGTCCGACTGTGTCCCCACCAGTGGTCCGACTGTGTCCCCACCAGTGGTCCGACTGTGTCCCCACCAGCGGTCCGACTGCATCCCCACCAGTGGTCCCACTGTGTCCCCACCAGTGGTCCGACTGTGTCCCCACCAGCGGTCCGACTGTATCCCCTACCAGTGGTCTGACTGTATTCCCACCACGACAGGTTTTATTGTATTCCCACCACCGGAAGTTTGACTGTTTTCCCACCACCAGAGGTTTGACTGTATTCCCACCACCAGAGGTTTGACTAGGTTGACAGAGGTTCCCACCACCAGTGATCTGTATATCTGCACCAATAGTCTGGCTGTATCCCCTGTCACCAGCGGTCTGACTGTATCTCCTGTCACCAGTGGTGGTACAGTCGACTCCCGGCTCGCCGCCGCTCGACATCGACTCGGTGCTGTTCCTCGAGAGCGGCCGCCGCCCTCTCGGCCGCGTCTATGACGTCATGGGGCCGGTCCACCACGCCGCCTACTGCGTGCGCTTCAACAGCCCAGAGGTAGCTGCACTCACGGAGCCCGCGTGCCACCGGCGCGCGGGTTCTCGTAGACCGGGACTCGTGACGTCAAATGACACGTCTCGCTCGCGCGCGCTCGTGTTTGCAGCGTAGCAGGAGGCGGAAGTTGGGAGGTGAGCTCGGTCGAGCGTGGTTGGCAGATAACACGAAGGCGCCTGAGGTATGGGATGCCACCCAGACTCGCCGTGTGTTTACGAGAAGAGTCTGGACCTTGCCTGATACTAATGAGCTTTTGGCTGCACCAAGGCCAGTCGTGCCCACCGTAACCTCTCCGGTGTCGATGAAATCTCGCGCGTAGGGTCACATATGTCCCCATACGACATCCAAGTGACATTTACTTCTCGAGGTCATATGGGCCACAACATATGACGTCGAATATTGAGGCTTATCTAGAAAGATGAGCCAGAAATTAATTGGGACGATCCGGTGCTGCCGCGATAAATAATTATGACCACTCCCGGTCTTTTCGTGATCACGTGATCTTGTGACCTTTGTTACATTTGTAACATCCTTGACCTTTTAAAGAATTCCATCCTGAAAATTTTGTCTTTTTCTCTGAAAGATGGCCGGGACTGTGGGTTCTGACATACAGTTTTCTTTGCACCTCTGGCCCTGCTGTGTGTCACCGACGTGAACGATGAGGTCATGTTGTGGCCTTTTAACTGCCGTTGGTGTGTGTGGCATACAACGTAGCCGATAAGGACGCCCTTTGAAACAACCAGTAGGTGGGAGGTCCCGAAGGTCACGCGTCAGTCATGGACGTGAGAATGGACAGTAATTACAGGTGGAACATGACATCTAGTGTACATGTCTATCATTTTAACGTCACGCTTTAGCATACAATGATGACGCGAGACCGGGCGATGTTGATGACATGCATGTACGGCCCGCTACACAAGTTCGCCACCGTGACCAGTGAGCCTTGCAATGCCCTCTGCTGTGTTGCTGTATGTTACATGATGACATTTTGAGGCCTCCGGTGAACTGGGTAAACAATGGGTTGAAGGGATAATGGATGAGTAGCCACCATGGGTAGCGGGTGGGAATTACCCCATCCCCATGGGTGGCGGGTATGACCCCAGCCGCATGGATGGCGGGTGGATTAGGTAACGGGAATCTTCCCCGTCAGGGCCTCTTATGTCAATGTCGTATTTTGCTGTCGCCTGTAAAACGTGTCAATGCCATGATTCATGGGCATCTGCTCTTGCAGCACAGACATCTTGCAGTTATTTTCTGGTATAACTTTCCAGACGTCTCTGAAAATTCCATGGCCTAAATCCCGTGCCATTACTTGCCAAAAAAACTAACAATCGCAGCGGTGTAATTTATGACAGATGTGTACGAGTTCCGAGTTTCTTCAGAATTCTCCTCTTCTCCGAGGAGTGGTGCTATTATTACCGCCCTACCTATGTGAACAGTTTAAGGTCTACCTGGGGGATTTTTCCAAGGATAGGCCGTTTTTGTGCTTTTTTGGTAAAGCATTGCTAGCCCCCGGTGAAATGGCAGACTAGACGCCTGCAAGGAAGTGGAGAGTGACTTGTGCAATATCCAGTGAAAATGCGTGGTACACTCCTGCCAGTAACAGGGCGTGTTTGCTCTCCTGTATTCAAATTCAACTTCCCAACATTCTTATTTGAATCCACAGACATTTCCTTCTACCAGTCATTGACGACAGCTTAGTTCTTCCCCGAAGGGGCGTGATTGGCTGGGTGAACGGTGTTTCTCTCGCTCGCCGTATAAGCTTGCCATCGTAATGGTGCTACTTGTGGGGGTTGTATTGCGAACGGGCACCTGGTGGCCCGTCCTTTCAAGGGTGGAAGTCCCTGCCGCGAGCGCAGGCGTGAGCGCGTGCGTTGTGACAGGAAGCTGCTGGAGCTGATGAGACCAGGGTCATTTGACAGGCACAGAGGACAGTCTCACCGTGGCTCTGGTGCCTGCGATCGCGGTGCCTGCCCCACAGATCCATGTCAGCGAATGTGGCTGGTCCTGATGATGTTCTGCAGCTTTAGCGCGCGCCGACTGCGAGTGGTCCTGGTCTGCCGTTTGTTGACGTGGTCATGGTATATCGTTAAGCTGATGTGATCCTCCTGCCGTGAGGGGGGGGGGGGGGCGGGTTTAGGTCACCTGCACCAAAGCCCCGCATGCAAAAGTGGCCTTGTTTTTATGTCACTACACATAGAGGCATAGCGCCTTTCAGTGGCGCCGTCTAGAATCGTTGGAGGAAGTCCTCACTGTACGGAAATGACCCGATCTTGCTCAAAATTCGCTTTAAGTTCTGTTGTCGTTGGCGTCCGAAATGTAATGCAATCGGTAAGTTGCCTCCCCCTCCCCCAAGAAAAAACCAACAGTAACAAAAAAAGGCGTTTGACGTTACCATTTTTGGCACCAGAAAGGTTCCAAAGACCATAGCCTTATCGTAGGACTATCAGCAGCTTCTGAGAATGAGCTGCACGTCTGCGGGAGCTTCGAAGAGAGCCACCGGCCCCGAGGCTGCCGACGCTGATGACGCCCACCCGATGATGCCGCTGAGATGGCCGTGCCTGAGACCGCTCTCGTTCTGCCCTCCAGGAGATCCGCGAGTTCGGGATAGAGGTGGGCGCGGACGTGTTCTACGCCCCCGGCTCGGACGAGTACAGCCATTACGTGTTCGTGGAGGCGCTGCGCAAGTAAGTAAGGAGCGTTTTTTGGCGATAGGTGGAATCACTCTTGACCCGTTTGCTTCTGCCACGGAGCCGCAACTGTGTTGTTGCGGACTAAAGGTACCGGGGGGAAGCCAGGTCGGTACAACTGTGCCAGGGACAACGGTACTTCTTGGTCAGGGACAATGGTGCAACTGGGCCAGGACAGGGACGGCTGGGACAGTGCTGGACCTGATTGAATGCGGAAAACTGACGGGGTAGGAGGAAGGATGGGACAGAACAAATATGTTCGTGGCAGGACCAGAACAGACCAGACTAAGCCGAGCCAGACCAGAACTGTTCAGGCCCGACCTGACCAGACCGGACCGCACTGGACTAGACCGGAGTGGGTCCGAGTAGATTTGACCTGACCTGACCTGACCAAACCTGACCAAACCAAACCAGACCAGACCAGACCAGACCAGACCAGACCAGACCAGATATACATATATATAATATAGACCAGAGCTGGAATGGAGACAGAGGCAACCAGAACTGCACAGAAAAAGACGAGCCGAGGTGGGGCGCTGTGTGCCGTTCCATCCTGTCACGTCCTGTCAAGCCCTGGGTGGCGCTGTCATTAATCTGTCCCTGCTACCACAGCACAGCACGGCACAGCACATCACAGCACAGCACAGCACAGCACAGCACAGCACAGCACAGCACAGCACAGTACAGCACCACACAGTACAGCACCACACAGTACAGCACCACACCACACCACACCACACCACACCACACCACACGACAGTCATGTGAAGGCATATTCTTATTACTCGTTTTATTTTCAGTAAATGATATTCCAAGGGCTTGTAGGTTAACTGAATGCATGTTCATGTTTACAATCGAAGTTCACACGCACGTTTGTTCCTGGCTGGCGCGTAACAACCAGTTTCTGGGCGTTTTTACTTGTCGGCTCGATTTCCCAGCCGCCTCGGTAGCGCAGTAGGCAGCGCGTCAGTCTCATAATCTGAAGGCCGTGAGTTCGATCCTCACCCGGGGCACAATTTTCAAAATTTCAGGGTGCGATGAATTTTCATTTAAAGAAACGTTGTTGCTGTAACCGTGAGCGTTGCGTCGGAACGTCGGGTTTGCTGTTGGTATTTCACGGGTCGTTAATATATGCCGCTTGCGCTGTTGACGGCAGCGCGTCAGTCTCAGTCTGGAGGCCGTGAGTTCGATGCTCACCCGGGGCACCGTTTTCAAAATGCGTGGTTGCGGTTGGACTTTGATTTAAACAAGTGATGTTGCCCGCCACGAGCACTGCCTTGGAATGTGTGATTTGCTCTTTGTATGTCTGAGGCTGTGCATATATGCCACTTCTATTGTTTCGATGAAGTCATGTTGCTAAACTATGAACCTAACTGTCTCCATAGTCCTTGTTTTTCTCCGAGGAATAAGGCTATTACTACGGTCTTATCTATGTGACTTACGCTCCTCGCTAATGCAATGAACAACTTACGTGATTACGTCTCAGTGATGTGATGACATCGCTTAACCTCAGTGGTATCTACGTGGCGTATGTTCCTTGCTAATCCAATGGACAAATTACGTAATTATGTTTCAGTGATGTGATGACGTCGTTTAACCCCAGTCGCCTGCTTAGGGGTGCAGCGCTGCAATCCAACACGATACTGCTGAGCGTGGATAAATGAATAAGCTCATCCATGAAATGCACCAATGACATATTTCGCCCGGATTTTACCCTCTCTCCGCTCAAACTTGGGCTGGGCAGTAACCTCAAATGGTCAAGACTTACACCGCTTCTCGCTGTATGCCGGTGCGTGGTACTTTTCAGCAAATTACCTCAAAATGTTGGAAAACCGCGAGAAATTCCGTCGCGCAAGTGCGTCGGCATTCTCGGTGCTTGAGCTCAGTCTGTACGGGGTCCTCACACAATGGCGGCGTTTTTGTCGGGACCCGGACGCGTGTGGCCCGGCGCCGCTCGCCGACAGCCGTCTGTCGAGCGTGATCCAGGCCGACCTTTGTGTGACCTCCGGCGACCCGGCGCGCTCTGCGCAGGTTGCGGGGCTCGGACGCCAGCTGGTGGGACTGCAATGAGCCGCCGGAGAACTGCCGCGACTTCTCCGACGACGAGGAGGAGCGGGCGCACCGGCGCCAGGCCAGGAAGCGGCCGGTGAGTGTGCGCGTTACGGCGATACCCGCCGGGACCGATGGGACCGATGGGGCCGTCGGGACCGATGGGACCGATGGGGCCGCTTGGACCGATGGAGCCGATGGGACCGATGGCGCCGCTAGGACTGCTGGGACAGCTGGGACCCGGATACTTTGGTGGACTCGCAGATTTGTGATCTGTGCGTGTTTTAGGTGCCGAGTGGAAGATGACGGGTGGGTCAGTGAAATTACCCGCGGTACGTTGTAATGTGACGCTTTGCTGCTGGGCGCAGAGGCACGACAAGACCCCCTCCCCCCCCCCCCCCTCTGCTAAACACTCACTTCCAGTAAATCCTTGGATTTCCAGTAACTCCTTAGCGTGACTTGGAAAGAGTGGATGCGATCTCATTCGTCCTGACTTATACTCGGTGACTCGGTGACTCGGCACACGGCCTCGGTACTGAGTGAGATGTTCTGCTCCCACCTGGCACAGCGCAGAGCTATGACCGCGGCAAGCAGGAGTCTGGCTGTCCGCCTCCTCCCCCTCCCCCGTCGGGGCTGTTCGTGCCCGGTACTGCCGTGCCGGCCTGACTAGTCGCGTGTCCGTGGCATTTGAATCACCGGTTAAGCAGTTCGCTCATCTATCGATTCAGTCAATCGGGAGGCAGGCGGGGTTTGCTCTCCGCCTGCGTATGTGGATGCTTGAACGTCGTTCCAAGTTGAGTTATCTGGCGTTGAGCTCCCAGGACTGTCACGCGTAGCTGTCAAAAAAGAAGAAGAAACTGTGACGTAAAACTCACGTGCGCGTTTTTAGCTGGGCGCCTCTAAAAGTGTTTGTGTCGTTCAGCTGTGAAGTTCACCTCTTGACGCCTGAAGCGCTGGGCGCCTCTGAAGGCGAATATGATGTGTCCCCCAACACATGCGCCGCAGTGACAGTATACACGGCCATATCACGTGTATCATGTTGTGCGAATGAAGTAGTTATTTTCAGACAGTCTCAGTACAGGTATTTATTGATCGATGGATATGCTCTTGGGCTCTCCAGGAACAGCTGATTTTGTAGAGTGCACGTCAGTTTCATAATCCACACAGGCATTAGTGGCGGCGAAAAGTTCGGTGTGCAGCTGTCGCTGCCGCCAGCATGAGGGCAGACTGACCCGCCTCGATGGCTGAGCTGGCTAGTGCGCCGCAGGCACCCTAACCAATTGAAAAGCCTCCATCGTATGACATCAGTTGCAGGGAGGTGCGCCCCCGGCCGCGGCGGCGTCATCGTCGGAGGGTGGGCCGCCCCGACCCGCGCGGGGTCGAGGTCGCGGTCGGGGTCAGCCGCAGCCGCGCCCGCCCTGGATGCCGGCGCCGCCCCGTAACCCTTTCTACGGTCACCGGCCTCCATCCAGGTGCGTGAAGGCATCCTCCTGTTTTTTTTTTGTCGGTGTTGAGGTCAGTGCGTGTTCTCGTGGCCCTTTGGTGTTGATATTCGTGTTGGGCAGCGCTCTTCTGCTCGTGGGCCATGTCTGGTGTGGTCAAGGGTGCTGAAGCGTACGCATTGAAGGATCGTACAGTTCATGGATGTAGTGATGCTTTCCCACGGATTAAATTTAAGCGAGCTCTAAGCTAGTTCATCTGCGTCTAGCGTCTGGATTTTGGAATGTCCCGCTGTATCGTTTCTCCGTAAGGGATGTATTTTCGTGACAAACTCATAGAGGTATGCACCACTTAATTGTCTTTTGTGAATGGACACCGTAAACAATAGTTCTTATTCAATGTTTCCGTTTTATTGGGCTGATCGCAGTGCGTTTCACACCTCCCCGTCCAGCATGGCGTCGGTTGGTGAGCATTTTGATCCGCCAGACGCCACATTAAACCGCGAATTGTGCCGCCCTCCAGCGGCGGCCCGCCACAGTCGTGGTGTGCGACGCCGCCACCCACCTGGCCGCCACCAGCTTTCCACACCGCGCCGCCGCCGCCGCCCGCGGCGTTCAACGTGCCTCCGCCGGGCCCTTTCGGTCAACCGCCGCCATCTTTCTCGCGGCCGCCGCCGCCGATCGGCGTGCCACCTACCGGCGGCCCCAGGCAACAGCCGCCGCCGCCCTGGGCACAGCCCGGCTTCTGGGGCCGGTGACGTCACGCCACCACTATTGTGCTGGCGGAGGAACTGAATACATGGCAAGGACAAACGCGTCGAAGGATTGTGTGTGACGGATCTCGTGTGATGTTTTCCATTGTGGCATTGTGTGATTTTCCACTGTAGCGAATGTAGATGGAAATGGATGCCGAAACAAGGTTTTGGGAGCTACCACATCTGGCACATAGTACGTTGTATGTAACGTCCAGTCACTGTGGTCGGAGTATAGACGCACGCGACGTCTATTGCGCATCGGGTATGGGACGTCTCAGCGGGCCGAGGTGGAGCTCCACCCCAGCAGCGGGCCGGGGTGATGAGGCTCCACCCCAGCAGCGGGCCGGGGTGATGAGGCTCCACCCCAGCAGCGGGCCGGGGTGGAGCTCCACCCCAGCAGCGGACCGGGGTGATGAGGCTCCACCCCAGCAGCGGACCGGGGTGATGAGGCTCCACCCCAGCAGCGGACCAGGGTGATGAAGCTCCACCTCAGCAGCGGGCCGGGGTGATGAGGCTCCACCCCAGCAGCGGACCAGGGTGATGAAGCTCCACCTCAGCAGCGGGCCGGGGTGATGAGGCTCCACCCCAGCAGCAGACCGGGGTGATGAAGCTCCACCCCAGCAGCGGACCGGGGTGGAGCTCCACCCCAGCAGCGGACCGGGGTGATGAGCTCCACCCCAGCAGCGGACCGGGGTGATGAAGCTCCACCCCAGCAGCGGACCGGGGTGGAGCTCCACCCCAGCAGCGGACCGGGGTGGACCTCCACCCCAGCAGCGGAGCGGGGTGGAACTCCACCCCAGCAGCGGACCGGGGTGGACCTCCACCCCACCCACACCCGCTCAGGTAGTACAGGCACCTTGCATGTCAGCGTGATGGCGTTAGTTGGCACCAGTTCTTCTCTGATGTACTCGCTTTGCGTTGATCACTCTTTTCCTTGTCGTACCCTCCCCGATCACATCCTCGTCTCACATCACGTCCACGGGATGGGATCACATCGGCTCCTCTGGTTTGCTGATTTTTATGCTTCGATATTTTAAGGTCACGACATCTTCATGTTGACCATATGACATTACTCGGTTCAAACTAAAAAAATCATCGTCACATTAAGATGACCTGGTATGCCAAGTGTCAAGTAATTATAAGATATGAAGGCAATAAACTCGGCGTGGGGCTGTATAGTTTGTACCGGAACGCCTCGTTTTTCATTGCAAGTGTGCATTGAGAATTAACAACTTTAAAGATTGCGTTTTAACCGTTACAACTTCGTTGTTACGGCTTTAACCTAAATAGGCTATTACACAGCTGTACGGTTTTTTTAGCTGAGAGCCTGTTTCAAGGTCACCCCATACAGTTAACAGCCATGTCCTTTTAAAGAGTTGAAATATTTTTGTTTCCAAGTTTGACTCACGTGACCTTACCCTACCTATTTCGCGCCGCCCATTTTGATGTCTCCTTGAAATGTGTGACATCACAGGAACGCCGAGCAAATACCCCCGCCTCATTCGTCGCATTGCCTTCACGGTTGAGACAAATACGGCCATTGGAATATCCGTGTTTGGAGGGGTCTAGCACCGAGTGGCGATAGAGCTTAACTTTAGAAGCTAGTCGGCTGATTGTCTTGACTGAGCTGCCGAATGCATGTCCCGATCACTCGATCGACCATCGAAGCTGAGGATCCGCCCGGCGCCGACGCGGCCGCCGCCTGGCCGGGCGCGGCCGACGGCCCGGCATCGATCGCCGATACCGACCAACTGGTGGCTCCCGGGCCCGTCAGGCACTGGTGCAGCTCGTCCGGGTTATCCCGCGCCCGCACTACGTCTACCGACCAGCTACTGCACACTCAGCACGGTGTAGCCTGGCCGACCTCACTGTTTGCGCCGTGCCGTGTCGCGACGTCGCCGTCCTTCAACTGCACAAAGTCGGTCAGCATACGGCACGAGGCGCACGTCTTGGCCGAGAGCGAGGCCGCCTCCACCAGCGACACCGCGCTCCGAATCAGCCCGTCCTGGCCCGACCGGCACCAGTGGCACTGATGCGCGGGGGTTCTCGCCGGATCCGATTGCTCCACTGCTGTCAGCGGGATCAGGCCGGCGGCCGGCAGGCGACAGCGGCGGGCAGCCGGGCCGCCGCCACGGCTTGGTCGGCTGCTCGCCATACTTGATGCCGCTTGATGCCCCACTGCAGCGGCCCGGCAGCGATACCTCAAAATGCATCACCGCAGTCGCCGCCGCCGCCAGCCTCCTTCGCTGTTCATTATCTGGAACAAGAGTAGAATGCCGCGCCATGAAACGGGGAAGCCCACTGTGGGCGCGACGTATGGTGCACAACCCGTTCGCTGATGCACAGAAGTATGCAAAGGATCATTTTAGGGGCGTGTTTGTCGATGGCCAATGTTGCAGAAGTTGCCTCACTCAGGCGACGCCAACTTGTTACGGCCCGAACGGGACGGCAGACCGTAACAAGGCAGGCCTGTCGTCAGCGCTCACGAACAGTACACCACGCTTGACAAGCCAAGAGGTCACCCAATATGCAGCAACTCACTGCCAGCTTAAGGTGCACTTATTCACTACAAGTAGGCTTTGATGTGTGCGTGAGGGACTTGTCTAAATGTCTAAAAGCTTGAGGGAAAATGTTGGCGGCAAAACAGGATCTCCATCCACCTTACCTGCCCGTTTTAGAACGAATATTACTCTTTGCACATTTGTTGTAATTCATCGCGCAAAAAGGACACCCTGAGAGCCAGTATTCGGTAGTTCCACACACCATCTATTAGGTGCTCTGCAATGTAACCGATATTGTGGTTGAACATGCGAGCGGTTTTGTTCGTTAGTAAGTGACTGCGCAAGTTCAGGCTATTTAACCCCGTGGTGATTTGAAAATGTGCGTGATGGCAGTGCTTATTTGAATGGGACATTTTTTCGGACGTTTCGGCACGTCCGATAAATGAACGAACGGCTTGTCGATGATGTAATCTTGGTAAACTTGATTGGGTAAACGTTGCTAAATCAGGCATCAGCGTTCACCTCGTGGTCATTTTTCACAACAGAACTGATCGATGCATTGTCTAGGCGCGTTGCTACATAGCACATCATGGACAAAGGTGATCCAGGTTTGGAACTGGAGCTAATAGTAACGGTCGCATTTTGGCCCACTTCATGCAACACATTTTTGGCGCGGAGAAAGTGTCGCTTTGCGTATAAGCCAGAGGGTGTCTGAAGTCAGAAGGAGAACAGTTATGGCTGGATGAGCGTGTGTATGCTAGTAATGGCCGTAATTTTATGGCTAATACTGAAGTCTACTAAGTGACATATAATTCACGTTAAATACTTCATCATGCACGAGTTCGTCACATGGAATACTGAGTACAACGAAAACGCGTCAGATAATTGAAGCCGGGCTTCCGGGTGTAAGCCGGCCTTTCCTGGGAAATTTTCTTGCGAGGATGGGGTTTTCAAACTTAGATTGCGGGCCACGCAATTATTGAGAACCTCAAAATCTCTAAAGCGCACCATCTAAACTCAGTAATTTCTATCGGAGTAGGGGCAGCGCTATAGCTAAGGATATGTAATGAGACGGCGAGTCTCCATACGACAGAAAGAGACAGTGACAGTGAGTATGCGGTAAAACCATCAATATCTGTGTTGGCCATGTAGATGCAACTTCAAATAGTTCGGCGTGTAGCATATTACCGGAATAAAAAAGCAAGCGACTGATCGTACTACTTTGCTCGCGCACATTCAGGCGAAAAAGCTACACTTGTGTTGGGGGGCGTTATTATCTCCCACGGCATAGGACGCACTGTGCCTTGACCGCCAAGATAAGACCGCGACCACGGACCGCCGCTACAAACGCGCGCTGGATCGTCCCAAGTTTCTAAAATCAGCCAATAGGAGACCTGATATCAACAATAAACCAATGAAATCAAGCCTGACAGCGGGCTCTTTGAAAATTCAGCCAATGAGACTACAGCAGAGCGTCGACGATCCGTAGCAGGACGGCCATTGGTCAACAGCCTCGGGGAGGGTAACAGCCTAGTTAACGCGCTGCGGATCTCGGGCTCGTCCCGCTGCTGCTCCAGCGTTGTCGTGTGTGCACTGTCGCCATGTAGCAGTCACTGCAGCATTGTCAGATGTGTGCGACGGCTGCAGCAGTGGCGTCGGAGAGCCGGCGGTGGGACGGGATGGAGGTGTGCGGTGCTCGGTGATGTGCGGTCATCACAGCTCCGGCTTGTCCGCCACGCTTCCCGTGCCCGTGCGACCGACGGGCGGCCCGCAGGCC